CAGATACTTTTCAGTTTGTTAGGAATAATTCAAACTTACTGCATCAATCGTTTGGCCAGCATCAAAGCGATGCGAATCTTTATGCGCTTGCAGCGAGGCTCGTGTAATGAATTTCTCGCTGCACTGATTGCAACGATATTTCGCTTCACGTGTTTGCTCTTTCATTTGTTCAACGGGCCTAAACACGACTATTTTGTCTGTCATTATTAGGTATGCGTTTCAAAAAAAAGGGCCTCAACGTAACGGCAGAAATGCCTATGGATGTATATTCGTAATAGCGGAGTTCTCCAAAGTCAATTCAGGCGAATCTGGTAATATTTATAAACTCTGAAGGGATTACATGAAAGAGTTGCCGACCAAAACAAAAATTTAGGCTGAAAATCCATTTAAATTTATTAAAAAATGGCCAAGCGTATATAGAATAAGCACTTTTCTCAGTCTGTTTTAGGCTCGAGAATCTGTCTGTCGAAGTGACCAACAATATAATCTATTTCGAAAAAGACAACAGACGAACTACGATTTGAGTAAGATGTCGAGCAGAAGGAGCAAACAGCCACCATAAAGTTTTCTAAGCGTGATAACGCTCACAAAAAAAAGCCGCCACTACGCAGTTTTCACAACAGCAAGAATAAGCCCTTTCAGAAATGCAGAACACGAAGTCACGACTTCATCAGTAAATTTTTTTTCGTACTTTTCCCCCGCTTTGGAGTATCTAGCTCAGCAATATGGCCTTTGGAGTATCTAGCTTATCTAGCTTAGCAATACCACCGCATCGAACAACAACGAGGCAACGAAATTTACAGAAGAAAAATTACCATTGAAAATTTCTGCTCCACAAGAAAATAAATTTATAGACTTTGAATGTCCTATACGACGAATCTCTCTACCAGAGCAATCACTCAAAAAAAAGTTAACTTGCACATTCTGTCCTGGTGACCAAACAAGCATAACCCTCAAAAGCAAATTTCTCGCATTCACCTAAAATCACAACTGGAAGTCCACTAAAATCAAATCTGATACTGCGATTCTGAGTCACCACACTGCTAAAGGAGCAAGTTTTCACAGTTTCATCTTTTTAGCTCATAAAATCAAAAATTTTTGAGTCAGATCAATGAAAGAACATAAATGGAACTAAGCGCATACAGGTCATCAATTTGCAAAACTTCAAGTTCCGAGGCAGCAGTTGCTTCCACACTCTTTTCATCAACACTTTCCACATTTGATTTCTTATTGCTTTCACCCTCTTCCGAATGCTCCTGAAAAATAATTCCACAAAGTCTGTGCTCTCAGAAGTCTAACTGATCACACGTTATCCAAAATAGAGTTCTTAGGGGAGAAAGTGTACAATACAGAACTACTTCTCGCCCTATAAGGAAAA